CTCTCTCTCTCTCTCTCTCTCTCTCTCACCCCCAACCGGCCGAGGCAGATGGCCGCCCACCCTGAGCCATGGTTCTACTCGAGGTTTCTGCCTGTTAAAAGGAAGTTTTTCCTTGCCTGTGTCGCCTAGTGCTTGCTCATGGTGGGAATTGTTGGGTTTCTGTAGTTAACTTCAGAGTAGGGTCTGACCTGCTCTGTTTGGAAAGCTGTGAGACAACTGTTGTTGTGATGTGGCGCTATATAAATAACATTTAATTTAATTGAATTGAATTTTGTAACTTCCTTTTTTTACTTTGAATCTCAGATACATTTCTCAAAACTCTAGAAAAGTACAGACTTCTTACCATTGCCCGATTCCGAGTTTGTAATAAGTAGTTTCTCGTCAGAAACTAGAGCAGGGGTGTCAAACTCCAGTCCTCTTTGGGCCGCTGTCCTGCAGGTTTTAGAGGTAACCCTTTTTTTAACACACCTGATTCACATCAAAGGGGCCATTAGACAGGTGCAAACCTCAACAATGTCCAGAGGAGATCCAGTTTAATACGAATCAGGTGTGCAGAAGTAGGAAAACGTCTAAAACCTGCTGGACAGCAGCCATCATTGAGTCCATCCTAACCTCCTCCATCTCCATCTGGTACGTTAAGGACAAGGGCCGACTGCAGCGTATCATTCGCTCAGCCCAGAAGGTGATTGGCTGCGATCTGCCATTCCTCCAGGACCTGTACGCCTCCAGGACTTTAAGGCGTGCAAGAAAGATCATGTCTGATCCTTCTCACCCTGGTCACAAACTTTTGGAAACCCTCCCCTCTGGCAGAAGGTTGAGAACCATCAGGACCAAAAACCTCACGCCTTAACCTCCTGAGACCCGAGCTTTTATTTGGCATGCATTTTAGCTTTTTTTTTAAAGATATATGAGATACATATTTAATTAAATGTTTTTACAATTTTGTTCTGACAGTCCCATTGACTCATTTACAGTTTTTCTATTACACAATAAGAACATGATTGGATGGAAATGTATAAAACCATTTTACTTTAGATTTCAAACAGTGTCTGATAGCATCTGCTATGAGGTCAAGAGGTCAAAGCTGAAAGAAAAAAAGAAGTATCATGGTAAAGAGAGACAAAAATGCAACGTCCTCTTATGAGGACACAGGGTCTCAGGAGGATAAAGAAAGTTTTTATCCGGCAGCAACTGGCCTCATCAACAAGGCCAGTGACCCCCAAACTATTCTTCTCTCACCCCCCTCTACCCCACTAATTTACCCAATGCTACGTTCAACTTTTTCTGGTTTGTCGTTGGACATTCAATATTTTATTTTATTATTTATTATTATTATTATTTATTTTATTTTATTCTATATTTTTATATTTTTATTTCTACATTGTATGTCGTTTCTTGAAATGTTGTGCACCTAACAACCAAATCAAATTCCTTGTAGGTGATGAACCTACTTGGCAATAAACCTAATTCTGATTCTGATTCTGATTCTGATTCTCGAGGACTGGATTCTGACACCCCTGAACTAGAGGAACAAGGAGGGAGTTCTGCTGCCAACGGCTGATCAGGGATGGGATTGGTCATGTGACCATGAGTTTTTTTCCTATCACATTGGTAAACAGGAAACATCCCCCAGGTGGTAAACACTCAACACCCCAAAACAGGTAAACAAACCCAGCCGAGAGAGGGAAGCTGATTAGAGGTGAACAGTGGGAGTCGAGCTGCTTTTTCAGAAAAACAAAAAAATCGGGTCAGGGGCTGTCGAGGTGGGGGGGGGGAGTTGTGAAACAAAAAGGTTACTGCAGTTCAAGTTGGGCCTTTTTGAAATGGATGTCACAGAGCGAGGCGTGTAGAAGAGCTGAAACTTCCTCTTTTATCCCCTCAAGCTGGCTGCGAACACAAAATAACTCCATTTTGAGAACAGAGATTTCCCCAAATGTCTGATAAAAGGCTAGTGGGGACAAATAAGAGTGGGGCAGAAGGCCTACAAGTCACAGCATGGGGCCTAAAACACCCAAAAACATCAAAAAAGTCTGTTTCCTTTACAGTGGGGGAAATAAGTATTTGACCCCTTGCTGATTTTGCAGGTTTGCCCACTTACAAAGAATGCTTATTTTTCCTCATCAGATGGTTATCAATTTATATAAATTCATATGATGTGATTTTCTGGAATTTTCTTTGGGATTCTGTCTTTCACTGTTAGAATGTACATATGATTAAAGTTATAGATCGTTGCATTCTTTGTAAGTGGGCAAACCTGCAAAATCAGCAAGGGGTCAAAT